GACTGTTGCAAATAGGGCCAGAATTTGTAAGTCACCGCCAGTGAACAGTACAGCATTGGGGAAATGGAAACGTAACGGATTTTTGTGAACAGGTAGGGACACACTGTGGGGACTTAATCAGCAAGCTGACTCTGAGATCTTAGATTTAGTACCCAAAATCACACTAGAACCCTAGGTGTAAATCTTGATAAGACTCATCCCAAAGTGACTTCAGAAAGTTATAAGACTGTGTTTGAAACAACTCAAGAAGCTTCTGCTTCCAAAACTGGATTGTCTAGTTACTTTTTTTTTTTTTTTTGTTTTGCCAGTCATGGGCCTTGAACTCTGGGCCTGGGTGCTGTCCCTCAGCTCTTCAGCTCAAGGCTTTTTTCTGCTTATGTGGTGCTGAGGAATCGAACCCAGGGCCTCATGCATGCAAGGCAAGCACTCTACCACTGAGCCACCTTCCCAGCCCTCTAGTTACTTTTTTGTTGTTGTTTTGGTCAGTTTTGGGATAGTAATTTACCCTATCACCTTAATTTCTTGATTATCTACGAAGAGTTGATTTTCAATTCAGCTTTTTCCTTACTGTGAGGACACCTTGATGATTTCTAAGCTTATCTGCACTGGTTGTTCACATCTGTAACCCTAACTATTCAGGAAACTGGGATCTGAGGATCACCATTCAAAGCCAGACCAGACAAGAAATTCCGTGAGACTCATCTCTAATTAACCACCTAAATGCCAGAAGTAGAATTGTGGCTCAAGTGATTGAGCCTGGGGCAGTCAGGGCATAAGGCTCTGAGTTCAAGGCCCAGTACCCACATAAAAAAATATTGAGCGTTGGGCTGGGAAGGTGGCTCAGTGGTAGAGCGCTTGCCTTGCATGCCTGAGGCCCTGGGTTCGATTCTTCAACACCACATAAGCAAAAAGAAAAAAGCCGGAAGTGGCGCTATGACTCAAGTGGTAGAGTGCTAGCCTTGAGCTGAAGAGCTGAGGGACAGCTCCCAGGCCCAGAGTTCAGGCCCCATAACCAGACCCCCCCCCCCCCCCAAAAAAAAAAAAAAAGAAAAAGAAAATGAGCGCTGTGCTTGTGGCTCACACCTTTAATCTTAGCTACTCAAGAGGCTGAGGGTGGCGGTTTGAACTCACCCCAGTGAGAAGGTCTGTAAAGACACTCATCTCCAATTAACCACCAGAAAACCAGAAATGGAGTTGTGCATCCAGGTAGTAGAGTGCTGTAAAGACACTTATCTCCAGTTAACCACCAGAAAACCAGAAATGGATCTGTGCCTCCAGGTAGTAGAGTGCTGGCTTTGAACAAAATACTCAGGAACAGTGCCCAGGCCCTGAGGGCAGGCTCTGTGACCGACCCAAAACTACATTACCCAGAAGTCCGCTCGCCCGACACGACCACTCGGGCCAATGACGGCCCAGGGAAGGCAGGACTTCCTGGGACGAGGTCGCTCCCGCCTTTGGTTGGCTCGTGGCTGGGAGGCTGGCTAGTGTCCGCCCTGGGCTGTGTGTCACCCCCACCCCCACCCCCGGGCGACAGGTGACCCAGCCAGGTAGCTTCTCCAGTGGATGGCCGGCTTGGCCCGTGCTCGTGACAACATAATCACGCTTGCTTCCGCCCTGTATCCACTGCACACAACAGGAAACCAAATCTCAGCAAAGCGGCTTCGGCAGTGCCAGTGGTGATGCCACCGGTCGTCCTGGCCTCTTGGTGGCTGAAGCCGTCAGGGACAGGGCAGTCTGTGCAACCCTTTTTTTTTTTTTGGGGGGGGGAGTCCAGTCGTGGGCCCTGAACTCGGCCTGGGCGCTGTCCCTCAGCTCTTCAGCTCAAGGTTAGCGCTCTACCACTTGAGCCACGGTGCCACTTCCTGCTTTTTTTTTCCTTTTGCTTATGTGGTGCTGAGGAATCGAACCCAGGGCCTCATGCATGCAAGGCAAGCGCTCTACCACTGAGCCACCGTCCCAGCCCCTGTGCAACCCTTATGTCCAATTTAAACAGGAAAAAAAATCCAGAAGGGGAACTGTGGCTCAAGTGGCAGAGAACTAGTCTTGAGTGCAAAAGCTCAGGAAGAGCGCCCAGGCCCAGTTCAAGCTCCAGGTCATGCACACACACACAAAATAAGAGGGGGTGGGACATGGCTTGGTGGGAAACAGCTTGCCTAACAGGCAGGAAGCCCTGGGTTCGATTCCTCAGTACCACATACACAGGAACAGCCAGAAGTGGTTGTGGCTCAAGTGACAGAGCGCTAGCCTTGAGCAAAAGAAGTTCAGTGATAAGACCCAGGCCCTGAGTTCAAGTCCCAGGACTGAAAAAAAAATAAAATAAATATCTAAGCCAGAGGATTGTGGTTTTAAGCCAGCCCATGCCCGAAAGTTCCTGTGAGACTCATCTGCAATTAACCACTCAAAAATGAATAGAGCCATGATTCAAACTGTTATAGCACTAGCCTATCCAAAGAGCTCAGGGACAGTGCACAGGTACCAAGCTCAAGCCCTATGACTAACAAAAAAAGTAAACATGATAAGTAGATAGATTGATGGTTCACAGATATAATCCCAGCCACCTGGGAGGGTGAGATCTAAGGGTCTTCATTAGAAGTCAGAAAAGTCCATAAGACTCCATCTCCATGGGGGCTGGGAAGTTGGCTCAGTGGTAGAGCGCTTGCCTTGCATGCATGAGGCCCCGAGTTCGATTCCCCAGCACCACATAAGTAAAAATAAAAAAAGCCGGAAGTGGCGCAGTGGCTCAAGTGGTGGAGCGCTAGCCTTGAGATGAAGAGCTGAGGGATAGTGCCCAGGCCCAGAGTTCAGGCCCCATGACCGGACCAATCTCCAGGGGCTGGGAAGTTGGCTCAGTGGTAGAGTGCTTGCCTTGCATGAATGAGGCCCTGGGTTCGATTCCTCTATACCACATAAGCAGAAAAAAGCTGGAAGTGGTGCTGTGGCTCAAGTGGTAGAGCGATAGCCATAAGCTGAAGAACTGAGGGACAGCGCCCAGGCCCAGAGTTTAGACCCTACGACCGGACCGCCCCCCCCCCCCCCCAAAAAAGACTCCATCTCCAATTAAACAGCGAAGTTTTGAGGTGAGAGGTAAAGGAGGAAGATACAGGCTATGGACAGAGGTGGGAAGAGGACCCTACAATCCTTTTTTTTTTTGGGTCCGGTCGTGGAGCCTGAACTCTGGGCCTGGGTGCTGTCCCTCAGCTCTTCAGCTCAAGGCTAGCGCTCTACCACTTGAGCCACAGCGCCACTTCCGGCTTTTTTCTTTTTGCTTATGTGGTGCTGAGGAATCGAGCCCAGGGCCTCGAGCATACAAGGCAAGCGCTCTACCACTGAGCCACCTTCCCAGCCCTAGGACCCTACAATCCTACATTAAGTAGCTTAATGCAGCCCCTGGGCTCTGTCACCAGCCTTCTCCCAGTGGTAGAGAGGAGACCCAGGATCCCAGTTGGGCGAGTATAAAAGCTACAGTAGCACCTTGCAGACAGCTAGGAGAGGGGTCCCTTCAGCTATTACCCTCAACCATATCCTGCCCTCTCTGGTTCACTTGGCTTTGTGCAAGCCTGCTAGCTATCTCAATACCAGGGTGCTTGCAGATAGTCTGGAGTTCTCTCCTTCAGACAGCCCTCACAGACCACCTTTAGGCAGATATTTTCCTGTCTTCTATGTATTGCCAGTCTAGGATCCCTTTCTGGCCCATCCAAATCTGCCCACCTTTACTTCCCCAGTGGGGAGTAAGATCTGAAACTCTTTGGTGAGTCCTCACAGATATCCAGGTCCCAATTACCAGAGACCTGTGAACCTGCTGCCCTCATAGCAAAATGGATGTTAGAGATGAGATGAAAGATCTTGAGATAGGAGATTATCTTGGGTTGTCTATGTATTCCAATTTAATCCTAATGGCCTTATAAATAAAGTAATTAAGGAAAGCAGCTCCACAAGTTGTAAAAGCTTAGGAAATAAGATTCTCACAGAGCTTCCAGAACTAGGACTGTTGGCTTGTCTTATCCACTTCAACTCAAAGAAATGATCTTGAGCTTCTGGACAATAGAACTGTAGGATGGTAGATGTACATTGTTCTAAATTAACACTGACCAAAGCACAACTGCTGATACACAGGGTCCTCTCCCTCCCAGGGAGATGGGCCACAGCATCCCGGTGAGCCAGCACACTGGTCCCCAGACCCGTGGATGACGTTGGCATCTGGGTGGTGGCCAAGAACTAGTCTGGGGAGACACACCCATGGGCTCCCTAACATTCCTCCTGTGGCTTCTCATGTGGAAAAAGTAGCTCGGACCTGAAGCAGCCATGCAGACAGGTCTAGCTCAGCCCCACAGACATGCCCGGGTGCCTCTCAGTTACCTCCGTGCTGAGAACACACGTGTAAATACACCACAAGAAAGCCTCCAGCTGCATAGAAATTGTGTTTCTTTCTGAAAAAAATATGCTAGATGTTTGTCCACAGCACAGCCCGGTTGGGAGGAGGCGGTGGGCGTTCCAGACTAGTGGTCAGTCTGTGCAGGGGTGGCCGCCTCTGGGAGGGTGGACTGGAGGTGAGGAACAGTCCATCTTAGAAGCATAGGTGCAGGGATGAGGCTCGGCTTCAGCTGGAGTTCAGGAAGACTGGGCAGGGCTGACAGGAGTCTCCGGAGGAAAGTCAGTGTCCCCAAGAAATTCATGGGCCCCATGCACCCAGGACGGGGCCAGGGACCCTCCAGCCGGCCCGGGAGGCCGATCACACCCCCCTGCCCAATCCACTTGTAGTGCGGCCTCTTAGCCTTGACACCGGCAGCCGCCATCGCAGTGAGAGGGGCCCGGAAGCCGGAGGGGAGCCGGCTCTAGGATGGTTCATGGTTCAGGACGCTGGTGAAGGTAAGTCTTGGGGAGCTGGTTCCCTTGGTCTAGGACACCCCGTCTGGGTTGAGTTCTGGCCGGGCATAGGTTGCTCGGTAGGGCGGCCGCTCCCCGGCCCCGTGGGGGGCCCGGCCGGGGCCCGGAACGCGACATCAGGGGCCGGCCTCTTCCCCCCTGGCGCCGTCTCGAGGAGGCTCCCGCGTCCTCCCGGGCCCAGCAGCGTCCTCAGGGACCCTGTCGGACTCCAGCCTGGGCCCTGCAGCGTCCTCGGGGCCCCTGTTGGACTCCAGCCCGGGCCCCGCAGCGTCCTCGGGGCCCCTGTCGGTCTCCAGCCCGGGCTCCCGCGTCCCCCGGGGCCCCGCAGCGTCCCCGGGGCCCCCGTCGGGCTCCAGCCCGGACCCCGCAGCGTCCTTGGGGCCCTCGTCGAGCTCCAACCCGGGCCCCACAGCGTGCTCGGAACCCCCGTCGGGCTCCAGCCCGGGCTCCGGCGGGAAGGCGGCGGGGATCCCGGGCGGCGGCGGCTGCGGCGGGAACCAGGGGAGGCCGGGCGGGGGCGCCAGAGCCACGATCTGGGGCCGCGCGGGGCCGACAGCGGTGGCGTGCGGGATGAGGAAAAAGATGTAGACCCCCGAGACCACCAGGCCCGCAGCCACCAGCACGGCCAGCGCTACGGCGGCATTGAAGGCCCAGGCGGGGCTGCTGAGCGACAGGCGGCGTGAGAGCGGGCGGCCCAGGCGCAGCGGCGGCGGCGGCGGCGGCGCGTGCATCTGCGCATGCGCCTGCGCCGTGCGGCCCTTGCGTGGCCCGGGCGGCGGCGGCGGCGGCGGTGGCCGCAGGTAGAGCAGCCCGCGGCTGCGGTCGAAGCGCACGGAGCCCTGGCGCGGCAGCGCGCGCGTGTCGCCGGGCAGCAGCCCGGGCTGCGTGGGCAGCGCGGGCAGCCCGCGGCGCGGGGCCAGCCGCGTGGGCGCGCGGCACACCGGGCAGGCCACCGCCGCGCCGCCGCCCGCAGTGGCCAGCGACAGACGCGCCAGGCACTCGAGGCAGAAGACGTGGCCGCAGTCCAGGCGCTTGGGCAGCTTGAAGATGCCGTCGAAGGGCGAAACGCAGATGAGGCACTCGGAGGGCGAAGCGGGGGACAGCATGCGGCCCGAGCCCGGGCCACCGTCAGCCTCCTCCTCCTCCTCCTCGTCTGCGTCCTCATCGCGGCCCGGGCTGGGCACGGCCCGGACACGGCGGAGCCAGGGCGGCCGCGGGCACGGCATCCGGACTCGGGGATCGACGCCGAGCAGGAGTGGGTGGTGTGCACTGCGGTGCTGAGCCGGAGATGAGAACCAGGCAAGAGCGGCGCCGCTGCTGAGCACAACGAGCTGGAGCCGGAGCCCGGGGCACGGCCCGCAGCCCAAGCAGGGCTCTCGCACCTGGAGACACCGCCGGTCTCCGCCTTCTCGGCCTACCTCTGGGCAGGAACGAGCTGCCTGTTGGAGGAGGGCGCCCTGCCCAGGCCGCCCATCCTGCCCCGCACAACGAGCCCAACCTGTCCCGCGGCCCGCCCTGCCCGCCGCCCATCCTGGGGTGTTGAACCCCAAACCAGACCCGGAATGGATCCTGGAGGTGGATGGAGTGCACTAACCGGCCTGAACAAAACAGTGCCAGGCCCATAGTCCACTCGCAGTCCCAGCCAATCCTGGGCCTGCCTTGAAAAACTTAAGAAACCACCAGAAACCAGAGGTCGTCACTCACAGCAGCAGAGCGCCAGCCTGGCATAGAAAGCCCAGGAACAGCGCCCAGGCTGATCCAGGGCCCAGGACCCACACCTCAGCCAAGACAGGAAGGATGACTCGGTAGCAGTGCTCCACACACATACATGAACAAGAAAACCCATGAAGGCCACAAAAGTGAAAAAATGCTCAGGGATAACGCCCAGGCCCAGCATTCAAGACCCACCACCGACCAAAAAGCAAAACAAAAAAAATCATGCTACTGGTTGGTGCAAGGGAATACCAGCCTAGCCTGCACATAAGTTCATTCACAGAACAATGGAAATTAGCTGCTACACAGAAGGGACATGAAGTTGGGCTACAGCCACAGGCTTCTTTCTACCTAATGTGATCCAACCAGGTCCTTTCCCAAGCAGGCCCAATTCTCATTTCCATACATGGCTGAGCCTATAAACTGGCTAGCCCTGAGGTGGTATATTTTTGAGTCAACAGTATTTTTCAGATGAACCTAATAGCCATGGCAGGAAAAGGAGTACTGACAATAGCCACAGGGAGAAGATATTCCACTCCCTTAAAAACAGCCAGAGACACAGGCAGGTGAAATTCCCCAAAGGGCACTTTATTGGGCAGCAACCGAGAAATCAGCGATTTGACTTGGCCACACGCTCCAGCTCATCCTTCTTCTTGATGGCATAGGAATTGGAAGAGCCCTAAAAAAAGAGATTGATTAGTTCTATGTTGGAAGGTTTCCCACGCCCACCTTGACACTTAAGGTAAATTCTGGGTCTCCATTCACCTTGGCAGCATTGATAAGCTCATCTGCAAGGCACTCAGCGATGGTCTTGATGTTGCGGAAGGCAGCCTCACGGGCACCGGTGCACAGCAGCCAGATGGCCTACAGAAAGCACGGGGCAGGGGGGGCCAGGTTAATCTAGCAGGATAGTGATAAGTTCCAGTGTTCTAGGCCCAATCTCAAAAACCTACCATGTAATGTGATCATCAAGATGGGGGGGAGGGGGAGGGGGGGGGAGGGAGAGACAAGACATTGGCACACTAGGTATGGATAAGAAAGGCTATCCAGACAAGCTAGACAAGGACTCTCCATGGAAGGAGATTCAAGATGTGCCACACATCATAGATATGTCATTGTCTTGAAGGACAGTCATACCAACCAATCTGATTCTCTACTGCTATTACGAATTTCTTCATGTGGGTATCAAAACTCCTGGCTTACATGATCCTCCTGTCTTGTCCTCTGAAGTAGCAGGGACTAAAGGTATGTAGGTACTATCAATCCAACCAATTCTTAAGTGGTCTAAGAAAACTAGTGTTAACAATGTACACTATCAACAATCTGAAAACAGATGGCTAAGAGCCAGGATCCACCCTGAACAAGGTAGGAATTCAGGAAGTTTCCTAAAGGGAAGTGAGGCTCTAGGTAAAGCATGCAGACAGGGACAAGCCTTCCCACCCACTCATGGTGGCAGTTCCTGCCCTGCCACCCACACAAGCTCCAGACCTACCTGATTCACCCGGCGCAGTGGGGACACATCCACAGCCTGCCTTCTCACTGTTCCAGCTCGCCCAATCCGAGTGGAGTCCTCCCGGGGCCCGCTGTTGATGATGGCATTTACCAGAACCTGCAGAGGGTTCTGGAAGAAGAGGGCGTTGAGCCTGACATCTGTTAACATGTCCCTCCCTTTCTCGACTCAGGTCACAGCCTGGCTTTGGCATGTGCCCAAGGGCAGCCTGTCCAGCCTGCCACACAATCCTACCTCACCAGTGAGCAGGTGGATGATCTCAAATGCGTGCTTGACGATGCGTACAGTCATGAGCTTCTTGCCGTTGTTGCGACCATGCATCATCATGGAGTTTGTGAGACGCTCCACAATGGGGCACTGTGCCTTGCGGAAGCGCTTGGCAGCATACCGTCCTGCACTGTGGGGCAGGTACTTGGCATACTTCTCCTTCACTGCAATGTAATCCTGGAAAGGATTTGGGGAAGGTCTATGAAAGGGCTGTTAGAAGCAGGATAGGCACCAGCGAGAGACCAGAGAAAAGACCGGAAATCCACTCAGGGTATCAGTGGAATTACTTGCAATCTCCGTTGCCTTCCCAGGAAGTGTATGTGGAATCCCTCAAGAAAACTACCTTTATCGTGGAAGAATGTGATCATAGATCATTTTTTTTTTAAAACAACTGACCCCTAAATATACCATGGGCACTATAGGTTACATAGCAGTACCCAGCATGCCAGCAGCAACCTCAAGTTCTGACAACTATCTACATACTGCTCAGCATCCTTTAGAGGGAAACAACCAACCCAGGGCAGAGAATCAAAGCCACAAAGAAAATGTGTAGGTTTATGCCCATGGCTCATGCTTGTAATCCTAACTACCCAGGAGGCTGAGGATTCTAGCTCAAAGCCAGTTCAGGCAGGACAGTCTACAAGACTTAACTTCAGCCAGGGGTGGGTAGCTCACACCTGTAATAATCCTATTCAGGAGGCTGAGATCTGAAGATTGTGGTTCAAAGCAAGCCCAGGCAGGAAAGTCCGCGAGACTCTAATCTCCAATTAGCCACCATGCATCTGGAAGTGGCACTGAGCTCAAATGGTGGAGACCTCACCTTGAGCTCTTCAGCTCAAGGACAGCACCCAGGCCCAGTTCAAGCCCCATGACTGCTAAAAAGAAAAAAAAGAAAAAAGCCTAGATGGGGAGATTGCAAGGGTAGAAGCATTTTATACACATATGAACAAAATAAAACCCACTAGCAGGGTGCCAGTGGCTCATGTCTGTAACCCTAGCTACTCAGGAAGCTGACATCTGAAGACTGAAGTTCAAAGCCAGCCCAGGAAACTCCATGAGACTCTATCTCCAATAAACCACTAGAAAACCGGAAGTGGTGCTGTGGCTCAAGCAGGGTAAAGTGCTCAGGGAAAGTGCCCAAGCCCAGAGTTCAAGCCCCAGGACATAAAAGGAAAAAAGAAAACAACAACAACAATGAGGGGGGGGGGGGGTAAAACCCATTGAAGATCATAATGTATCAAACTAAAATAAAATAGTTGAGCCAGGCCCTGGCTGATGGCTCACACCTGTAATCCTAGCTACTCAGGAGACTGAGAACTGAGGTTCATGGTTCAAAGCCAGGGCCGGCAGGAAAATCTATGAGATTCCTATCTCCAATTAACCACCAGAAAACTGAGTGGCGCTGTAGCTCAAGGGGTAGACTAACACTAGTGTTGAGCTGAAGAGCTCAAGAACAGTAGGCCAGCTCAGAGTTCAAGACCTGCAAATTTCAGTTGGAAGCCATGAAGGACAGAAGACTTTGCTTACCCTAAAATGTTTACTATCTGGTCCTTTAAGGAACTTTGGATAGGTGGATAAATTCAGTAGGATTGTATTAGTAGCACCACAAAAAATAAGTTTGCAGACTTCTTAAACATACCTATGAAAATAAAGATCAGCCTGAACAAGTTTTGAGTTGTCAATGAGGGAAAGTGTCAGGCTAGAGTGAGTACTAGTCCCTGACCAAAAAAACAAAAGCTCAAAGACATGATGTAGGACAGGAAAAAAGGGTCGGGGGTATGGGGGATGGGAGAAGCACACACAATACACTCTACTCCTCCAACTTCCATTGTGGGCTGGTGGCTCTTGCCTGAAATCTTAATTATCCAGGAAGCTGAAATTAAGGATTGAGGTTCAAAGCCAGCCTGGTCAAGAAAATCTGTAACTTTGTGTTTATGTGGTGCAGAGTATTCCAACCCAGGGCCTCATACATGGGAGGCAAGCACTCTACCATTGAGCCGCCTTCCCTGCCCAAACTAACTTTTTTTTTCCTTTTGTGTTGGTCGTGAAGATTGAACTCTGAGACTGGGTGCTGTCCCTCAGCTCTTCAGCTCAAGGTTAGCACTCTACCACTTGAGCCACAGTGCCCATTTCCGGCTTTTTTTGTTTATGTGGTGCTGAGGAATTGAACCCAGGGCCTCATGCATGTGAGGCAAGCACTCTACCACTGAGCCACCTTCCCAGACCCCCAAACTAACTTTTGATGGGTTGTGGAGCTTAAACTAAACCTGGGAGCTGTTCTTGAGCTATTTCAAGCAAGGACAGCATCCTGCCACTTAGAGCTGCAGCACTACTTCTGGTTAACTGGAGCCTTATCTGCCCAGGTTGGCTTTGAATGGTGACTCTCAGATCTCAGCCTCCTGAGCAGCTAGTATTACAGTGTGGAAGTAGCAATATGGCTCAAAGTAGTAGGGTGTTAGCCTTGAGCAAAAGAGCCTCAAAACAGGGGCCAGGCACTGAGCTCAAACCCCTTGGCCAACCGACCATACCCACACCCATCTTTTTTCTAAATAAACAACGGCCAAAACTCATGAGGCCCGTGGATATGGCTCAGAGGTAGGATGCACACTAAAGGTCCTAGGTCCCATCTTACACACAAAATGCTATGTGTAAAAGACAACACTTACTCAGTCTTTCCAAAAAACTCTGTATTACAGAAAAACTCACTCCTGACCAACTGTTTAAACAGTCACTTTA